TAGTAGTATCTACTATTAGGTTCCAGAATTCTTGATTTTGTGTTCATTGTTCAGTAAATGATTATTTCTCAAATCCTTCCCTTGATTATATATTTTAGTTCTTGCCCCGAGAAGACTTTTTTCAATCTAAAGAAATGCGGGGGAAGAGTCATGCCACAATTTTCGTAACATTATTTAGTTTTTTATTAATTTCATTTCATTTATTTTTTCTTATCGATTTTTTTTTTTTTTTTTTTTTTTTTTTTTTTTTTTTTTTTTTTAGAAGATGTGTCCTCCAGCACGGTCTGCAGGTGAGATGAGGGAAACTGGGTCTTTTGCTAAAATTTCTTGTAGAGTCAGTTAAAATCCTGATGCTATTAATCAGGTAAGCCTGGTCAGTTGTGACATATTTCGTCATGTGGATTATTATATCTATTTTATTATTATTATTATCATCATTATCTATCTATCATTATCTTTTATTTTATTTTTTATTAATCATTATTTTTTTTGGGGTGAGGGCTAAAATTATTTTAATCTTTCGTACTGTTTCATGTGTTGCCATAATGCCATGTCACACCAAGAGGGGAATAAGTAATATTCTTTTATAAACAACGCTGAATAGTGAGTATTAAAGTGGAAGAAAGTATACATATTTGTTTCATTTTTTTCTTATTCATTCTTACAAAGAAAAAAAGAAAGAAAAAAAGAAAACAAAAACAAAAAACAAATCAAAAAACAAAAAAAATCCAGTTATAATGCATGTTAATCATCATTCGTACAGTGACACCGCCGTGTTATTTCAAGAGCGAAATGATGAGAGCACTTTTGCGAACACCGAATGTTGAAAGTCATGCTAATTCACTACACATTAGCAAGAGCCTCTGGTATCGACCTCAATGAGAACCAAAAACGTGAAGGTTATGAGGTCTCATAATTGACTCACTATCCTCAATTCTCCTTAATGCACAAATTACTTTAATACCAGGAATTTTGAAGCAAGAGAAGATGCTAAATCAGAACAGAGAAGAATAGAACGTATTCTCACTTCTCTCTTTTACGTAAATTACAATAACATCAGAGACAGGTACACATACACGTACAGCATCGGTACATCAACTGCCTTACACGTACAGCATCGGTACATCAACTGCCACACACGTACAGCATCGGTACATCAACTGCCACACGTACACGTACAGCATACATCAACTGCCACCACACGTACAGCATACATCAACTGCCACACACGTACAGCATCGGTACATCAATTGCCACACACGTACAGCATCGGTACATCAAGTGCCACACACGTACAGCATCGGTACATCAACTGCCACACACGTACAGCATCGGTTACACGTCAGCATGGGCCACCACACGTACAGCATCGGTTACATCCAAGTGCCACACACGTACAGCATCGGTACATCAACTGCCACACACGTACAGCATCGGCACATCAACTGCCACACACGTACAGCATCGGTACATCAAGTGCCACAACGTACAGCATCGGGTACACGTCAATCTACATCAACTGCCACACACGTACAGCATCGGTACATCAACTGCCACACGTACACACTCGTACACATCGGTACAGCATCAAACTGCCACACGTACAAGCATCGGTACATCAACTCCACACACGTACAGCATCGGTAGCATCAACTGCCCACACACGTACAGCATCGGTACATCAACTGCCACACGTACAGCTCGGTACATCAACTTGCCACACACGCACGTACAGCAATCGGTACATCACAACTGCCACACATACGTACAGCATCGGTACATCAACTGCACAACACGTACAGCATCGGTACATCAACTGCCACACACGTACAGCATCGGTACATCAACTGCCTTACACGTACAGCATCGGTACATCAACTGCCTTACACGTACAGCATCGGTACATCAACTGCCTTACACGTACATCGGCACACACAGTACAGCATCGGTACATCAACTGCCACACACGTACGCATCGGTACATTCAACTGCCCACACCAGCATCGTACCATCAACTGCCTTACAGCAGGATCAAATGTCTCTAACACCAATCTAAGATCGGTACATCAACTGCCACACACGTACACAGCATTCGTACATCAATCTGCCTTACACGTACAGGCAGCAAGAAGTGGCGAATGTGGATCTGGCTTTTGATTGGCAGAAGTGAAAAACACATGTAACGGTTTTAACGGATAAACCCTCTCGCCCCACACACTTGGAAAACCTCGAAATGATTCTTTTTTTAATGTCTATTTCTCTCCTTCTTTTTTTTTTTTCCTCATTTTTCTTTTTTATATGAAAGCTTTGTTCTTGTCGGATTCGGGTTTATATCAGCGTCACCCCTTGTCATGGTTGAGTGTCCTTCGTTTACATCAGCCGCTGTCCAGTTCGGAGAATTAATGGTATATATATACTATATAATATATATATATATATATATATATATATATATATATATATATATGATATAGATGACACTGAGCAAATACAGACAGATACATAGCTGAGGACAACGTAAGAAATCACTAGAACGATGAAACTGTTTCAATTCATACTATTTCACATATTTATCATAACCACTGCAAGTCATACCATGATATTTCGACAATGCAAGGATTTCCGGTCATACCCGACTGTCACCCAAACGTGTCATTGTAAATATTGCCAAATAACTCCCTTGATTGCTATTAAATGGAAGTTATACCGTTATATATTTTTTAGCTAACCATATTAAGAGTAACACACATATACTGTATGTGTGTCTGCGTGTGTATGTGTAAATTTACATATGTATATACATGTGCATGTGTGTGTGTGTGTGTGTGTGTGTAAATGTACATATGTATATACATGTGAATGTGTGTGTGTGTTGTCACATGTGGTGTGTGTTGTGTGTATGTGTCTATATATATATATATATATATATATATTATATATACTATATATATATATATAATATATATATATTCGTATACATATGTATGTATACTCGTATATATATTTATATATACACACATATATATACGTATATATACACACACATATATGTATATATATATATAGTATATATACATATATATGTGTATATATATGTGGCTATAAGTATGTACTTAACTTTATATATGTATATATCTATATCTATCTATCTATCTATCTGTCTCTCTCTCTCTCTCTCTCTCTCTGTCTCTCTTGTCTTCTGTATATATGTTATATATATATATATATATATATATATATATATATATATATATATATATATATATAGCATTATATATATATATATATATATATATATATATATATATATAATATATATATATATATATATATATATATATATATATATATATGTGTGTGTGTGTGTGTGTGTGAAGAGAGAGAGGGAGAGGGAGGGAGAGAGAAGAGAGAAGAGGGAGAGCGAGGAGAGAGAGGGGGGGGAGAGAAAAAGAGAGAGAGAGGGAGAGCGAGAGAAGAAGGAGAGAAAAGAGACAGAGAGAGAGAGGAAAAGAGATGGAGAGAGAGGCAGTCAGACAGAGAGAGAGAGAGAGAGAGAGGCAGGCAGACAGAGAGAGAGAGAGAGAGAGAGAGAGAGAGAGAGAGAGAGAGAGAGAGAGAGAGAGAGAGAGAGAAGAGAGAGAGAGAGAGAGAGAGAGAGAGAGAGAGAGAGAGAGAGAGAGAGAGAGAGGAAGAGAGAGAGAGAGTCAGACAGAGAGAGAGAGAGAGAGAGAGAGAGGAGAGAGAGAGAGAGAGGAGAGAGAGAGAGAGAGAGAGAGAGAGAGAGAGAGAGAAGAGAGAGAGGAGTCATGAAAAAAATCGAGATAACGCCGTGTCACTCCTACGCATCGGGGGGCATCTGCAAGGGAACAAAAAGTGTCCCGGACGAGGAAGATTCCCCGGGAGAGGAGGAGGAGGAGGAGGGAGTGGAGACGAGGAGGGAGTGGAGAGGAGGAGGAGGAAGGGGAGTGGAGAGGAGGAGGAGGAGGGGAGTGGAGAGGAGGAGGAGAGGTGTAGGATATACCTGGAGACCGGTAGGCGGGTCTTCTGAACTGGCTTGGTGCTCCGGGCCGCCAGTCAGGTCGCCACCTGCTCGGGAACTGGTCGGGCGGAGTCTGACAGCTGCGTCCTAACACACGGGGACTTATAAAAGACGGGAGAATTACTGTATCCTTTATTGTGTTGAAGTGAAGTGTAACATAACATGGAGAGATGAGTTAACGTGAATTATGACTGCAGAGTGTTAACGTGATCTAGAGTGAACTTTAACTATGAGTGCAGAGTGTATCAACCTGAAGAAAAGAAGGAGATGCATCAGACACGCCTGAAGTGGTGCATAGTTTGCCTTTAACTCTCCTGCGTGCAATCTTTACCTCATTACACACAAAAAGATAAATAAACCCACCATGCCTCTCGGGGGAAGACGCAGCTACATCTTGGCAGTTCCCGCCGTCGTCCTCTTCGCCCTGTGTTACCACTCGTTCTCGCCCTCCCGGCACAGGTACAACGTCCGCCTCAACCAGGACGGCCAGGAGCTCAACCTCGAACTCTCCGAGGACGAGATAGAGAATTTCCTCAAGACCAACGCCCAGAAGACGAAGGGCGAGGCGGCGCCGACGTCAACGCCAGCCTCGCCGGTGCCGCAGACGAGGAACAAGAGCCAGGAAAATGACGTGGAGTTCGTGGTAGTGAACAACAAGGTGTACCTCAAGGGCGAACCCATCCCGCAGAAGGTTCGCTACCCCGTGCTCAAGCCCTCGAAGGGACGGGCGCTCAAGAACATGGACTTCAGCAGATTCAAAGGAGAGGTCAGGAAGATAACCTACCTGTGTCGTATTCTTTAGCTGTAAAGTTCTATAAAGTGTTCAGTCGTTCAGGTATTTAAATATTCGATTGTATAAGTGTTCATTGTTCAGTTGTTCATGTGCATTATTGTTCAGTCGTTCAGTTGTTTAAGTGTTGGATTGTGTAAGTGTTTACATTCAATTATTCAGTTCAAATGCACAGTTATCCAAGTGGCCAAACGCTTATTTCAGTGTTCAGTCGTTCATAATAACAACATTCTTATCACGTCCATTCTCTCAGTACCAATACGAGAGACTTCCTGCAATTCATGCAACACCCAAGCACCGTTTCCTTTCGCTTGCAGGAGCAGAAGTTCATGGAGGAGCGCCGTCAGGAGCTTCTGCGCAGAGCTTTCCGAGTGAGCTCCATGTGCAAGGCGCGCTCTAAGCTGGCCACCTCCAGGCTGCTGCACTTGGTCTGGGATCTGAAGCACGAGCCGAACGTGGTGTGGTGTCCAAACTATAAGGTAGGGTGGAGGAGCACCACTTTGGTGAAGGTGGAGTGGCGAGTGTGACCTATATGCATAGGGTGGGGAGCTGTGCACTCGCTCACTCATCCACGCACATACACACACACACACACACACACACACACACACACATAAACACACACACACACACACACACACACACACACACACACACACACACACACACACGCTCGCACGCATACACTACGCAACACGCACATATACACACGCACGCACGCACACACACACACACACACACACACACACGACACACACACACACACACACACACACACACACACACACACACACATACACACGCACACACACACACACACACACACACACACACACACACACACACACACACACACACACACACACACACACACACACACACACACACACACACACACACTCACGCTAAAACTTGCTAAATAGGACCACTGCCAAGAGCTTAGTTATTATGCATAACGGGTTGCACGGAGAACAGGAAGAACAATTCCATTTGGAGAACACTCAGGGCGTTGCACTCTTTTATGTTATTGTTATTATTATTATTATTATTATTATTATTATTATTATTATTATTATTATTATTATTATTATTATTATTATTATATATATATATAGTATATATATATATACCAAAGATTCATTTAAAACAAGACATAAAGTAACATATAGATACGAATATATGTATCTACCTCTCCTTGTTTATATATGTATCTATTTATCTATATCGATATCTATCTTCCTATGTCTGTCTGTCTGTCAATCTATCTATCTATATCCATATTCTTTTACTGATCTATTTATATGCATAGATGAATAGATGAATTTATCTGTATGAATATAGATATAGATATAAATATGGATATAGATGTATTCGTGTATAAGTACTTTACATAGATATACATACATGCATAGATAGGTAGACAAACAAGAAGATAAACTTACAATACAGATAAACAAGCAGATAGATAGTTGACAGGGTGTGTAGGTGTTTGGATAGGGGGGGGGATGGGGCTTTTGGGGGTGGGGGGTAGGAGAGGGGGAGAATGAGGATTGTAAGAGGTATAAAAGGAAAATAAAGGGAGATTTATGTTGACAGACCATTAGCAAAACTAAAAAGTGTTTAAATGACAAAAAAGAACAAATTTCATATTTCTTCCTTCGAACATGAAATAAGAAGGCAGAAAGAATGGACAAGAATGTCAAATATTTTAGGTTTTCTCTTTAAATGTCTGGTTAGAATGAAAATACAGTAATTTCAGTTTCATTTTGAGTGATAAGGAGTTCAAGTCTAAACTGAATAGTTTTCATACTGTATTTATTACATCATCAAGGTACACTAGAGAGAGAGAGAGAGAGAGAGAGAGAGAGAGAGAGAGAGAGAGAGAGAGAGAGAGAGAGAGAGAGAGAGAGAGAGAGAGAGAGAGAGAGAGAGAGAGAGAGAGAGAGAGAGAGAGAGAGAGAGAGAGAGAGAGAAGAGAGAGGAAGAGAGAGAGAGAGAGAGAGAGAGAGAGAGAGAGAGAGAGAGAGAGAGAGACAGAGACAGAGACAGAGACAGAGACAGAGACAGAGACAGACAGAGACAGACAGACAGAGACAGACAGACAGACAGACAGACAGACAGAGAGAGAGAGAGAGAAACAGCTACAGACAGACAAGCATTAACAGCGACAGACAGACACCGAGACAAGATAACCCAGTAATCATCCCAAGTTTTCCACCAACAATACCCTAAGTGGCAACTGCACCGGCCCCTTCCTCTTCTCTAACGGTTTTGTGGTGAACTTCAGGGCACCGGGTCTAAAGTCGCTGGTGGATATTGTCACTAAATTACACATTATCAAAGCAATTTCAAAGGAAAATAAGGGCTTTTCCGTCAAATATCACTTCTCGAAATGTGATATTTGAATTCGAAGAAAGAGAAAAGGATGATAGCAATTAATTATGGATAAGAAGACAAATATTCTTCTGAGGATTTACATTTGTTGAGAAAGAGTAATGTTGAAAGTTAAGAAATCTATTGTAGATAATATCATTTTTTCGTACATAATACTACCTTTTTCGTTTTTAATGTAAACTACATCTTTCCAAAACTATATAATATGGAAAAATAATGACCGTATCCCCCTACTCAAAAATGTGAACTCGAATAGAAGACTTTTTTAGATATTTTC